TACTCTTTATTGTAAATACTTTTTAAAAAAATTCTGCTTCATTAGATTGATAAATTGCTATGCAAGACTATGTCTGCCTTATCCATGTACTTCATGGCATCTAATAGAGAATCAATAAATATTTGTTTTATGAATGAATGTTTTTGCTTGTTCTGAAGCTTGATGCCCTTTGGAACACTACCTATCATCTTTCAAGTTACCTCTGACTTTCTGGTGTTCCACCTCTTGGTCTCGTGCTAGCTTTCAGGTTGCCCTTTGGCAGTCTTAGTGACAGGTTTTATGTCTAAATTCTCTGCATTTTAAATAAAACTGAGAACTTTACTAGGCAAACACATTTATAGCATTGGATTTTAGTTACTTAGAATAATATTAATTAGATGGGAAAGGAAATAACCCCCCCTTTACCAACACTATCAATATGACATATGATTAAAAAGAATATTTTTTCAAAAAAAAGTGAAGTATAAAAGTAAAAGGGAAAGAAAAAGGTACTCCAGAGTAAATATCTACTCTTCACTGATTTCAACGCAGGGAAGAATAAGTGTTCCCCTCGCTTTCCCCAATGTTATTTGTAGCCATGTACACTTATTACCTTGTGTATATATTTCATTATTTCATGGAGCAAATCTTCCCCGTAAGAGAAATAGCAAAGGCTCTAGAACACATGAAAGCAATTCCACAGCCTTTATAATGCCCGAATTTATTCATTTTGTAAAAAAGGGGGGAAACAAGTAATTACCTTCAGTAGTGTCCCCCACGTGTCTCCCAAAAGGAACATCGTTCTGGGCCCATGTAAAAATTAACACGATTCCCTATAGAGAGGGGACTACTCAAAGTTAATAATAGCTAGGGAAGAAAGGATGCTAGTTGCAGGCACAGGTATATCTTCTCTACGCCCCCACCCCCAAAATAATTGGAGAATAGAAAAGTGGTTAATTTGATTATTACCCCGCGGAAACATTAGGGATAATGCAAACAAAGATCTGAAGTAAGACTTTATTAACTAGAGACTCCCCCTCCTTCATCCCGCCGGCAGTCCCTCCGGAACCCCAAACTGCCCTCTTAGGCACCCCAACCCGGCTAGCCTCGCCAGGGAATAGCCCGCTACGCGGGTGGGCGGGGCTACGGCACTTCCGGCCCGCCCCCGCCGCCTCGGGGAGCGCGCGTTTGGTATCTGCGCCGTGGGCGGAGTTTCTTGTCCCTCTGCGCTGCCCGTTCAGCTTCTCCTCTCCTCTCCTCCCGCAGCTTTTGGGCTGACGTGTCTGCAGTTCCTCCGCGTCTCTGCGGGTCGGGCCGTGATGGCGGACGCCTGGGAAGAGATCAGGCGGTTGGCTGCCGATTTCCAGCGGGCTCAGTTCGCCGAGGCCACGCAGAGGTGCCCAACCCGACCCTCCCTTTGTGGAGCCCAGATTAGGTCTTGGGCGGAGACGCCGGGATCCGGGGCCTTAGATCTCTGGCCCTGGACCCCGGACCTTCTCAATTCCTGTCACCGTTCCCACATCCTCCCTCTGCCCCGAACCTGAATCGCAATTCTGAGTCCAGGTCATGGCGGGGAAGCCCGCAGCCTGCGACGCCCCAGAGCCCCCATCCCCGCCCCAGCTTGGTGCTGGCGCTCCCCACCATGGCCGTGCTGGTGACTCCCTCCGGGCTGCCTTTATTGTGTGTATTGAGTGTTCCTGTGATCCTTCCTCACCTACCTGCCACGAAATCACTGTGGCATCTTATCTATTACACACTTTCTGATCTAGAATGAGCTTGAAAGGAGAAACTAACCCCGAAATACAGTACTTTGCAAATAGGATGTTGACCCTTTAAAATTTTTTGCCGTTTTGTCTACCAGAACAGAACCCCATCTGTCATTTTTAGGCCTTCAGGTCACTGACATTTTTTACAAACCCACTAACCTTAGGGGGTTGTGTCTGGAGGACCCTAACTCGGCTTTTTAATATTACAGAACATATACATAATACTAATAGAAGCCTTTTTATCCGTTAACTATTTCTTACCTGCGATGTTTTATTCCTTTTGGGCCCGAAGACAGCAGTCCCTTGGGCTGTATTTTGTAGCACTGATAGCAAACTAGGGCATAGTAAGTGCGTGGGTAACTGACAGTAGCTGTTCTGATTTTACTAGGCCAGATCCCCTGCCTGCCTCCAGACTAAGTGTATGAGTGAGGCAATTATGCACTTAATTTAAAAGAAAATTCTGATTAAACTGGAAATTGAATTAAAATAAGGCAGGTCTCTTTTTTTCCTACCTAAATAATATGTCCTTAATTTTCTTTTCAAATTGGAAGATTGGAAGCAGGCCTAGAAGAGACACCAAACTTGAAATTTGTAATAGAGTGATATATATAAATTAAGTAAATGATTTAAGGGGATGCAAACATGCTTACTCGAGATTTTTTAACTTAATCAATATTATTATACTAATGAAAGATAAAAGATTTTGTAATGTAGAAGTTAGTGACTCTTTACACAAACTTTTTACGTCTGTTTTCATAAGCTGTGTCAATTTTATTGAGCACCAGTGTGTCAAGTACAGTTTTAAAACTTAACTCTTCTTCTTTCCCTCAGGTTGTCAGAGCGGAACTGCATTGAGATCGTGAATAAATTGATTGCTCAGAAACAGCTAGAAGTAGTTCACACTCTTGATGGAAAGGAATATATTACTCCTGCCCAAATTAGTAAAGAAATGAGAGATGAGCTGCATGTCCGAGGTGGTAGGTGATGCTTTAGTGTTTTTCTCTTGGATTTTTGGAAGGAGAAAAAAAAACACCTTAAAACCATAACAAATAAATTATTTGGAAGTTATAAGACATCCTTTTCAATTGTTAATTTGATAATCAGCATTAATATTTTTACTAGGCTAATGCAAACATGGTCATATAATTAAAGGAACTCTAATATCACTTTACAAAATAGCATTTTTTATCATTTTGAGTTATGTGTATTATATGTGAATTAATTGACTGTTTCACAATTCATTAATCTATTGCATGACTCAGTGAAGGGCACTCCACTGCCTATAATCAGGTGGCAATTGTGGAGAGGGAAGAGACGTTTTAAAGAATTATAGAATTTTTTGAAAATCAAGGCTGTATAACCATGCTTTTTTAAAAGTACTTTTAAATATTTGCAAATTAGGTAACTCAATTCAATATGGTGTTACACCCATCATATTTGTATGAAATACCATTACAAACAAAAAATGTTGTTTTCCTTTGCCTTTTTATAATTTGAACAAATTGAGCAAATTTGAACACTTACTCAAATAGAAGCAACTATGAAAGCAACTCTTAATTAGATGTTATCAGAATATAACTTTGGTGTTTATCTTATTTTTTTATTTTCCTGCATAGTACTAATCAAATATGAGGTATAATTTGAAATACATAACATTTTCTTTTGCTGCTAGGTAGAAATTTACCTTTCAATTTCAAATAATTGAAAAAAGTTCATCTTAATTTTGTTGTTAATATCTGTGGTCACAATGGATAAATTCTGAGTTGTGAAGGGAAATGAATGCCCTCCATAGATCTAGCCAACTTATGTGTCAGCTGATGCTCATAATTAGCCTGATGTGGGAGTGTGGAGGGGAGGGAACTTTGAAAATAAATTATTGCCTATGGCTTCAGCCATGAAGACTTACTCCGTTAATGGTTTATATTCGAAGACCTTAATTATTGTGGCTCTATGTTCTTTGTATAAGGACTTTGTCCAAAACTTAAATCTGTTAGAATTTACAGTTTTGGGTCATTGTGCACATACAGGTTATTTAAAATAAATGAATATCTTTTCTTTAAAGGTCGAGTAAACATTGTTGATCTGCAACAGGTAAATTTTAAATTTACAAAATTTTTGTTTTGATTTCTCAATTTTTTGATATGTAAATTTGTTCAGTACCTTAAAAAGTATTCACTAATACTGGTATCATATTTTATATGATGTTTGGGAAGAAATAGTTATATCCTCACTGATACATTGAATCAATTTAATAAGCTCTGATATATTGAAATGATTTAATAAGTTCTTCTTTCTCAGTTGACTTGCTTATTTTTTATTCCTTTCCAAATAAACACAGTTATCATTTTATATAATTGTGGGGTTTTTATATTTTGGGGAGAAAAATCATTAGTTTCATGTTTACATGTTTTTAGTATGTGGAACAGAGAAACATAAAAAAGAGTAGAAGATATTTTCAAAAAATATAAGTGCACATGTCATTGCCAAGGTACACTGTATACAAGAAGCTGGCAAGTTTTTTGTGAAATGGTGTTTGTTATATAAATATGTAATTTATTGCTTAATAGAAAGTTTCCTAGCAAATGCAAGTGTAATTCTTCAGAACTGAAAGTAAATAAGCAATAAGCCTCTAATTTTTTATTTGACCAAGGCTTTTTACAATATTTCCAATCAATTCAAAATTTAAGAATAAGTAATTTCTTAAATAATATAGTTTTAAATGTATAATTTCAAGCTTAAGAAACAATACAAATCTATTGCTAATCGAATTTGTGTATATTTTCCAGGTAATTAATGTGGACCTGACTCATATTGAAAATAGAATTGGTGACATTGTTAAATCAGAAAAGCATGTTCAGCTAGTGTTGGGACAACTGATAGATGAGTAAGTACAAAATTTAGGAGCACTTTGTTGTTGTTTTTTTAATAGTATTTAAATTTAGGCTAATATGTCCAGGTAGGCATTTCATTTAGAAATTGTTTTCTGTTTTTCTTGTTTATTGTTTTTTTAATTTTTAGAACTCTTACAGTGCTTATTTTCATTATAAGGATTATTCTACTTAAAAAGGAAGTGCTTAATTGTGTGGAATACTTGGAAAAGGTGTAAACTTTGATTTTTTCCCTGTTATCTTAAAGCGGTACAAAACATTTATAGTCTTTCCTATATGATCTTAATTCCGAAAGCACATTTGTTCCAAAAATATTAATGGAAAATTACTACAGCATTTCCACTGTTTAAAAAAAAATCCCAATATTTATCATTTGATTAACCTTATACTTAACTACACTGGTAGGAAAAAAATAATTTTTAGAATATGAGTAATGGTGTTTACTTACACATACCCTACTTATTACTTTTGGAGCATACCTTATTTCAACAGAAATTAAACATAAAAGATAGAGAAAAAAACATTATTCCTAATTTTTTTTCATTCTTTTCTTTTTTTCACTATTAGGAACTATTTGGATCGGTTAGCAGAAGAGGTAAATGATAAATTGCAAGAAAGTGGTCAGGTAACGATATCAGAACTGTGTAAAACCTATGATCTTCCTGGAAACTTTCTGACACAGGTATTTTTTCTTAATAGTATCATTTGTCTTTTTAACAAGGAATTTTAAAAGGAGGGAAAAAACTAGACTTTCTAACCATCAATTGATTTATCGCAGGTGTCTGACTTGATATATGTTGTAGCAGTATATTTTGGGGGTACTTCCAATATATTGATGGTTCTGAGGAGACTGTTCAAAAATGATTATCTTCCTGAACTGAGAAACATTCTAAAACCAATTAATAGACTAAGCTCTAGGCTGTCTTGATGCAATAGCAAGTATACCATAAGTGCATTAATTTATTTAATGCTTTTTATTTTAGTTGTATAGAAACTAACCAGGATATCTACAGTTCTGATTGCTCAGTTATATTTTAAAAAATAACTGATGAAGATTATAATTTAGAAGGAATACTGCTGGCTTCTTGTGAGTAAAGGTCAGGGATGTTGTTAAATATCCTCAATGCATAGGACATCCCTCAACAAAGAATTTTCTTGCCCAAAATGTTAGTAGTACCAACATCTTTTGATGGAATCTGTTTCCTTCCTTTAAACTATTAATGTGATAGGGAGAAGAGCCAAGGTATCTCACATATTCTCTTAACTTTACTTGATACTTGTGTCAATACTCAGATATCTTGCTTTATGGTATAATGACAATGCTGCCTGAAAATAGAGGCTATTTTCTTGTTTGTTTTCTTTTTTTTTAAGTAGTGTGACATTTTAGAATCATAGAGATCCATTTGGTACATTGGGAAGGGCATAAGTTTTAGAGTTAAACAGACCTTGATCTAAATCCTATCTATACAACTTCTTATTTATTTGACATTAGGAAAATTATTTTGTGTCTTTTGTGCTTCAAGTTGCATATCTGCAAAATGTATGTCTTTTCCATAGGCTTCAATGAGGTATATCTGGTGAAATGTCTGACACAATGGAAGCACTCAATAAATGATAGTTCTGTTTTTTATTTACTGAAACAAGGGAAAAATCAAATCTCTTGTTAGGTATATATCACTTTAAGAAAATTCAGCTTACAAAACTTACCAAACCATAATTGTAGGAGATTAATTTATAATATAAGAAGATTAATTTACCCATATTAAGAGAATGAACCACACTAATTGTATTTAAAATACCATGTATAATATAGATTTGTTTTATATAGCTGAAATTTCAGGAGCCAATTTTATATGAACAAATACATGCTAATCACAGGTAAAAATATATTTTTAAAAAATCAGACTCAGATCCAAATGATTTTTTATAAAACTATGTTTCTGAATACATTGTGGAAACACATACAGTTTCTTAATATTTTGCAGTTCTAGTTTTTCTGAATATCGCAGGCAGTATTCTAAAAGTTCATTAAGTTGTTTGAAAAACATATTTCTAGATCATAAAAGTATCAGCTGAGCTGACTTAAGTAGATTTAACTTATCTTGGGATATAAAATATGTCCAGATTTATTTCAGATGTGCCTGACCCCAGTCATAGTATAGCTATGGAGAAATACTCTCAAGTTTGAAAGCAGGTTGCCAAGAAACCAGATCATCTGCCTTTCTAGATCATCTAGACAGAGATAACTTATTAATATATGCATCAGACAAGATAACTTTTCAGGTCTTATGTTTCACTAGGTTGCAGAATCTTGAAAAAACATTTGTTCCTCTCTGTTAGTCTTAGATGCTCCAGATAAGGTCTTCTTCAAGATCCATGTGTATGTCTTGGTTATCCGTGTGTTGGAAGCTGCCTATGTCTAGAATATTGGTTAATCATTTTTTTTTTTATTTCAGCATATTATAGGGGTACAGATGTTTAGGTTACATATGTTGCCCTTGCTCCCCCTCCCCGCTAAGTCCAAGTTTCAAATATGTCCATCCTTCGGGCGGTGCGCATTGCACTCTTTGTGTATGCATATACGCATCCCTTCCTCCCTCCTCCCCCCTCCCCCCCCGCCCAACATCCAATAGATGTTATTCTTATATGTGCACTTATGTGTTGATCAGTTAATACCAATTCGATGGTGAGTACATGTGGTGCTTGTCTTTCCATTCTTGGGATACCTCACTTAGTAGAATGCGTTCCAGCTCTATCCAGGAGTATACAAGAGGTGCTATATCACCATTGTCCCTTAAAGCTGAATAGTACTTCATGGTATACATATACCACATTTTATTAATCCACTCATGTATTAATGGACACTTGGGTTGTTTCCACATCTTTGCAATTGTGAATTGTGCTGCTATAAACATTTGGGTACAGGTGTCTTTCTTATACAGTATCATTTGTTCTTTTGGGTAGATGCCCAGTAATGGGATTGCTGGATCGAATGGTACTTCTAATTGTGTCTCTTTAAGGTATCTCCATATTGCTTTCCATAAAGGTTGCACTAGTTTGCAGTCCCACCAGCAGTGTATGAGTGTTCCTATCTCTCCGCATCCACACCAACATTTATTGTTTTGGGACTTTTTGATAAAGGCCAGTCTCACTGGAGATAAGTGATATCTCATTGTGGTTTTGATTTGCATTTCCCTGATGATTAGAGATGTTGAGCATTTTTTCATATGTTTTTTGGCTATTATTGTGTCTTCTTTTGAGAAGTTTCTGTTCATGTCCTTTGCCCACTTTTTGATAGGGTTGTTTGATTTTTTCTTGTTGATTTTCCTGAGTTCTAAGTAGATTCTAGTTATCAGCCCTTTATCGGATTTGTAGCATGCAAAAATTTTCTCCCATTCTGTAGGTTGTCTGTTTGCTCTTGTGACAATTTCTGTGGCTGTGCAGAAGCTTTTTAATTTGATCAGGTCCCATTTATTTATTTTGGTTGTGGCTGTGATTGCCTTTGGGGTCTTCTTCATAAATTCTTTGCCTAGGCCAATGTCTAGAAGAGTATTTCCAACATCTTCCTCTAGAATTCTAATAATTTCACTCCTTAGGTTTAAATCTGTTACCCAGTGTGAGTTTATTTTTGTGAGGGGTGAAAAATGTGGATCCTGGTTCAGTCTTCTACATGTGGCTATCCAGTTTTCCCAGCACCATTTATTGAATAAGGATTCTTTTCCCCAGTGTATGTTTTTGTCTGCTTTGTCAAAGATTAGGTGGCTATATGAGGATGGTTTTATATCTGGGTTCTCAGTTCTGTTCCACTGGTCAATGGCTCTGTTTTTGTGCCAGTACCAAGCTGATTTTAATATTACAGCTTTGTAATAGAGTTTAAAGTCTGGTAAATTGATGCCTCCCATTTTGTTTTTATTGCCTAGAATTGTTTTTCTATGCAGGGTCTTCTCTGGTTCCATATGAAGCATAAAATTAATTTTTCTACATCTGTGAAGAATGATGTTGGTATTTTAATAGGGATTGCATTGAATCTGTAGATCACTTTGGGTAGTATAGACATTTTAACAATGTTGATTCTACCCACCCACGAGCATGGTATGGTTTTCCACCTGTTTACGTCTTTTGCTATTTCCTTCCTCAATGTCTCATAGTTCTCCCTGTAGAGGTCTTTTACCTCCTTAGTTAAATATATTCCTAGGTACTTTATTTTCTTTGTTGCTATTGTGAAGGGAATTGAGTCTTTGATTTCGTTCTCGGTATGACTGCTGTTGGCGTATATGAAAGCCTCTGATTTGTGTGTATTGATTTTGTATCCTGAAACTTTACTGAATTCATTTATCAGTTCCAGTAGCCTCTTGATTGAATCCTTAGGGTTTTCTAGATATAGTATCATATCATCAGCAAATAATGAGAGTTTGATCTCTTCTGTTCCCATTCGTATGCCTTTAATTCCACTCTCTTGCCTGATTGCTGTGGCCAGGACTTCCAGCACTATGTTGAATCATTTTTATTTTACATTAGAGGTAGCTTTTATTAGCAAAGGCTATTATGATAGCTAAGCCTTTTAACATATAAACAATTTGACTCATTTCTTGGCCCTGTTATGAGATAATGAAGTTTTCTAGGTACTGAATCTTCACTTTAGTTTATATATCTTGTTGAAATTTCTGAATCACATAATTGGTACCTCAGCATACAGCATAACTTCAGTATGACTATGCAAATATATATGTATCATTTTGTCCTTTCAAATTAATAAAAATTTACCTCCAGGCACTAACTCAGAGACTTGGTAGAATTATCAGTGGACATATTGATCTGGATAACAGAGGAGTAATTTTTACTGAAGCTTTTGTGGCTCGACATAAAGCACGCATCCGTGGACTGTTCAGTGCTATTACCCGGTAAGCATGTTTTAAAGCATATGTATTTGTAAATATGTTTGATCATGATTTGCATTTTTTTTTAGCAGCTGAATTATTTTGACAGAATCTCATTTAGGACCCCAGTGTATTAAACAGATAAAATGGGAGTTTCTTTGAAATACGAGTGGGGATTTCAGAGTCCTAGAGTGCAACCTCTCTCCAACTCACATCTCCTTCCTCTACCTGTCTTTACCCCCCTCATAACCCCAGATGCACTTCTGCAGAATGCACTTTAAACACCGCTGCCCAGATCAGTTTATTGAAGTCACCCTGTAATCATAGAAAGAAGATTCAGTGTAAAGTCAGAAGAATTTGGGTCATAGCTTTATCACATAGTAAGCAAACGTGACCTTGAGCAGATAATTCAGGGCCTCAGAGGGGCTAGATGATTTTAGGATCCTTTTTACCATATAGCATTCTATAATTCTAATGAATAACAGTGTTACTTTCAAAATCACTAACTTTTCAAAATAAGAATTTCTGAAGTGTTTCAGTCTGTGTGACTCCAGTATAGAATTCAGAAAAACCTACATTCTCAATTATCTCCTCTCCCCTGTGTCATCAACTTTATCTCAGTGGCTTTGTGTCCTACCAACTTTTAAATATGTCCAGATTTCTACCATTTTAAAACAAACCTCTGAGCCCCATGTTCCATTCCATCTACAATCCTGTTTGTTCTTTTTTTAAAAGTGAACCTTCTCAAGAGTTGATGTCTATATTTACTGTCTCAATTTTCTTACCTCTGTCACTTCTTAACTTACCTGTCCAGCTTCTACTACATATATATAGCACTAATGTCTCAATATAATTAAATAAAATGGATACTTTCTATCCTTATTTGACTTGACTATGTAGCAGCATTTGACTCCAGTTATATCTTCCTTCTTGAAATATTCTCTTTTTTTAAAAAAATAATACTTTACTGAGTTCTTTTTATCTCTTTTAGCTGCACCTTCTAAGTCACCTTTATGGCTCTTTCTCCTTTCCCGACCCTTTAAAGTTTTGTTTCAGGCCACCTGTTTTTTTTTTTCAATCCTGTGCTGTCATCTCAGGTGATTTCACCTCTTTTTTAAATGTCAGGCTCAATGTTACCTATACAGTATCTATGGCATCCCTACCGAAATGTTTTCCAAGTGCTTCAAATTCAACATATTTAAAATAACTGGTACTTGAGGACATTAGGAAATAACTATTATTTTTGTTGGTTGTTAAAATGATATTAGGGCTATTTAGGAGAATGTCCTTATACTGAAGATATACATACATGCATGTATACACCCCTCTATATATCTATATTTCTGTATCTTTAACTAGATATATCAAAAACCATGAGTTTATACTGATACCTCCAATTCTAGTCCAGTACTATAAGTTTTGTTTTGTTCCAGTTCCCTCCTTTTTCATATTTGTAACTCCCTTCTCCAACCATGAGAAACTCAACTCCATTATCCTTATTGTATTTACATTTTTGATTAAGTAAATGTGACTGGTTTCCACATTGCTGCTGCAGCTCCTTTTCCCATATAGATACTCTCCTTACCCCACATAGGCTCTGACAGCCTGCTCCAGGTCACCATCCTAAAACAAGAAACTGGTGGTGGTTTCTGGGGAGAGGAACTGTGTAGCTGAGTGATATAAATGGAGGAGGATTCAGTTTTTTAACTTTTTTGTACCGTTTGCATTTATTACTTTGTCAAAAAGTAAAAACCAAAAATATATTTTTCCTACTAACAAATATTTACCTTTTTCTTTGACTAATTATTGCAGTGATTGTAATTTTCATCAATATTAATAATATTTTTCTCATTCATACTAGCCCTGAGTTTCTCTATATGGAGATAACTGTCAAACCATGAGAGGAAAACAAGTTCTGAGTCTCAAAAGATGTTGCTAACTCTATGGCTTTCAGACAGCTCCATTTAATGCACCATGGCTTCATATTTGCCTCTTAAAAATAAGGAACTACCCCACTTTTCTGGACTAACTATAAAGAAATCACCTGTATCTCTGATTTTAAAAGTTTGTATTTATTATTGTTATGGATAGCCAGAAAGAAAAGCAAAAGCAATTAGTGAGAAGAGCTACCCTGTATTCCAAATTGAAATAAAAATCCAGCTAAAGTTTCATCATACCAAAAAGAGCTAGAAATTTTGTACAACTCAATTCAACATTTATTGAGCACCCACAATTAGTTATGTACCCCAAAATTTTAAGATAAAGTCCTTCAAGGATCCCACTGTATTTTTGTAAGGATGTGTTCAGGTAGAAGGGAATGGAAAACACAAAGAATAAAACATGAGAAGATTGTAATAATTATTAGGTAAACAGAGGAGCGCAAAATTCACAGAGCACCTGGACCTTGTTGGTTTGGAGGTTTGCTATGGTTTAGATGTGGTTTGTATGCACCAAAACTCATGGTGAAATTTGATCCTTAATGTGGCAGTGTGGGGAGTCGGGCCTAGTGGAAGGTATTTGGGTCACAGGAGCAGATCCCGTGGTAACAGATTAATGCCCTCTTACCAGAGTGAATTCTCACTCTAATGGGAATGAATTCCTCAGAGAGAGAGAAAGAGCAAGCAGATTATTACAAAGAGTCTGGCTTCGTTGGTTTCTCCCCCTTGCTTCCTGTCTTGCCATGTGATCTCTTTGCAGATGCCCACTCCCTTTCTGCTTTCCACCATGAGATGAAGCAGCATGAGACCCTCACCAAATGTAGCTGCCCAATCTTGAACTTTCCAGCCACCAGAACCATGAGCCAAATAAACCTCTTTTCTTTATAAATTACTCAGCCTCAGGTATTCTGTTAAGAGCAGCAATAAAAGGATTAAGGCAGGGTTCTGGATAATTTAGCTGATAATTTTGGGTAAAACAATTTAATAAAAAAAAATTGATCTACATAAGAATTTGATAAAACTAATAATTTAGTCAAAAATCCCCAAACACAGGGGTTTTAAATACTCAGTTCAACTTTAGACAACTGTTTCTGCTTTCCCAAGCTTGTTGTAGAAAGAATTTATATCATCCTAAATAATCAATAATAGAGGACCAAAAAGTTGAAATTACTTGAAAGTCTTTTAATTATATGCATAAACAGTAAAAACATAAACTAACCTTAACTAGAGAGAGCAAGCATACTGGCTTAAAATGAAAAGAAAAAAAATTGTGGTCAGAATAAAAAGTCTATATCCTTTTACCCTTTATTTTTTAAAAAATATGTAGTTATTATAAAAGACATATAGGAATCTACCCAAAAGAAATGGAAACATACATTCACACAAAAACAAGAACATGAATGTTCATAGGAGTGTTATTCATAATAGCCCCAAATTAGAAACAGTTCAACTATCAGTCAGCTGATGAATGTGTAAACAAAATGTAGTATATCTATACAATAGAATGCTGTTCAGCAATAAGAAGGAATGAACTACTGATGCATGCTTCATCATGGATGAACCTCAAAAACCTTCTAAGTGAAAGAAGACAGAAACAAGAGACCACGTGTTGATTCTGTATATTAAACGTCAAGGAAGGCAAATTTATAGAGGCAGAAAACAGATTGTTGATCTAGGAGTTGCAGCAGGAATTAACTACAAATAGCTATCAAGGAACTTTGTGGTTGATAGTGATGATTGTACAACGATATAAATTCATTAAAACCATTGAATTGTATACTTACAGTTGGGTAGATTTCATGTTACATAATTTATGCCTTTTTAAAAGCTGCCTAATAAAAGAAATGCATAGTCATTATGGAAAATAACTGGTAAGCAAAAAAAGGGGACATTTTAAATTGATCCCTCCCAATCAGTCACCCTAATCTAGGAGTATATCATTCTAAATTCTTTTTAGTGCACATATCTCATTTTTCTTCAAAAATGGAATCATATAACATTCACTGGAATATTCCTATCTTAAGGAAAGAGCCTCCCAGATAGAAATAACAGAATGAAGGAAAACAAATATACAGTAAAGGACAAGGCAAATAGTCAAGTATCACATAAATCTGAGGTGAAATTTGGTGGAATGGAAATGTAAATTGATCCTGGATGGGAAGACAGATCGATTTCCCGGGTATTTCAGTAGCATAATTCTGATTAAGGATTTAAGATTTGGTATAATTTGGGGCATTTTTTTCTTTTAAATTAACTGGTGTTTTTCATAAACTCTATCCTAGTTATTTTATTAATTCATAAATCTGTGTAACTCTA